CCACAGCCACTTTTGGGAATTTGGCGGCCCAATTGCAGGAAGCTTATCCCTATCGGACCGCTCCTCTTCCACAAAAAACTACTAAATACTAAAACACACAAAAACCTGACATGCTTGGATGTATAAAAATATTCACACATCCGACGAACCAACTAGACTATCCAACCTCTTCCCTTTACACCTTCCCAGCATAACATGCAGATAGATACACACGATGGCTATAATACCAAGCTGTCTTGTTGACGAGCAATGCTATACGGTAGGGGGACACTTTTTAAGACATGGGTCACATGCTGTCGCCCGACAGGGTCCATATAAATGCTCGTAACTCTCAATTTTTGCATTTATTTCAAGGAAATCAATTCTGCCCAGGCAACCGCCTGGCGTATATCTCGNACAGGGTCCATATAAATGCTCGTAACTCTCAATTTTTGCATTTATTTCAAGGAAATCAATTCTGCCCAGGCAACCGCCTGGCGTATATCTCGCGGTGTGCAAAACAAAAAGCATTTTTTCCATTGGTTGAGGCAGCCCAGTACACACCAGTCCGCCAAAACACTCCATGTGACCGAGGGGGTACCCCTTATCGTAGCATCCCTCTGACCCTGTTACCCACTGGGGAGATATCACTGTGTGCTGCTCGGGAAATCGTGGAAAACAGATTTCGCTGATGCCATTGATTCATTTCTAATAATCTAATTTACAATATCACACTCTTTTCTTCGATAGAGATGGATTCGTTGGGTCAAACTGATGGAAAAAAAAAAAATTAAAAGAAGGACGCTTCCCACAACCGGCTAAAACGTCGAAGGGTAACGTACCAGCACCACCAGGCACTACCTGGCCCCGCTGCTGTTCAACTTGTTCTTTGCCGCGATGCTCATGGTTGCCGTGGCCGAGTTCGACAAGGACCCCAAGGTGACGGCGGACATGGTCAAGATCGGGACACAAGTGGAGTACACGGGCAAGAAGGGCAGGTCGGCGGGGAGGAAGACGACGGTGGTGACGGACGCGGAGGCCTTGTGGGCCATGCTCTACGCTGACGACGCGGCCATCGTCTCGCGCTCGCCGGAGAGTCTCGAGAAGACGATGTCGGTCATCGTGCGCGTGGCCGGCCTGTTCGGACTGATGGTGTCGGAGCCTACGACGGAGATCATGTGCATGTTGCCAAAAGGGATCGAGGAACGCCCGTTCACGGACAGCGCCGCCGGCCAGACGTACAAGCAGACAGATCGGTTTGTGTACCTCGGACGTACCATCTCCGCGGACGGGAAGGCCGACCGGGAGATCACGAGCCGCAGCTGCCGAGCGTGGAAGTGCTACCGCCGGAACAGTGCTTCGATGTACGACAGGCGACGG